TTTTTTTTTTTTTTTTTTTTTTTTTTTTTTTTTTGTGCAGCCCACATTATCAGCCCTATAGCTCCACCCACAAAATCTTTTTCCACCAAAATGTAGCACCATTTACGGCACATATGCCAAACTGAAGGCCCGCAGGCAAAATCTGGCACTCGTTAGCATTTTATCTGGCCTCAAAAATGTTAAATAGTATTTTTTTTTTTGGTCACTGTCTTTAGAGCAGTGGGCTCATAGTGGACATTTTTTTTTGTATTCTTTTTTTTTTCTTCCATAGTAAAATAATTGGATTTTCAATAGAGCTGATTCTCTCAGCAAGCAGGTTGCAGGTTCAAATCCTGGCCYGGGGACATTTCTGGGTAGGGTTTGCATGTTCTTTTCGTGCACGTGTTCTCTCCGGGCACTCCAGCTTCCTCCCACAGACCAAAAACATGACTGTTAGGTTAATTGATAGGTGTGGGTGAGAGAGTGAATGGTTGTGTGTCTCTGAATGTGTGGTCCTGTGATGGACTTGCTACCTGTCCAGTGTGTGCCCCTCGCACTGTTACTGCTGGATATGGACCCCTGTGATCCTGAAAGGAAGAAGCGGGTATAAATAATGGATGGATTTTATTTTATTTTATTTTTATTATTGTTTTACTGATTTGGTCATTTGAATTTCTATAGGCTTCAATAATTTGTTATATAACATTTAAAAGCAAGACGCCAAGTTTGACACCCCTGATTTAGAGGGTGACCTCTGCGTGACAGCATCTGTGCGTCAAATCAAACTGCTGAGTCTGCTTAGAAATGTTCTGGTTCCTGAGGACATGAGTGGGTCCAATCATCAGCCTGCTCCAGTCCGAGTCTGATGAACGTCCAGCTCCATGTTTTGTGCTCAGCCTCTGTCTTTGTTTGATCCACTCCGCGGCTTACCGCCCGTCTTCATCTCCTTGCTGCAGGGAGGAGCGACCCGGGTGCAGCCGAGCCGAGCCGAGCCGAGCCGAGCATCGCAGCCTGCATTCAAGGAAACAGGCAAACGCAGCACTTTTTTTTTTTTTTACCTTGTCCTCAGAATGTGTTCGCCTTCGTCCAGCAGAGGATGTGAACGAATCAAGGCAGATAAAATCCCATGTGGACTCTTATAGAGGCGTCTAGCTGGGGATCTCTGCACAGTTAAAGGGGAAATAATAATAATAATAATAACTCAAATTGTTTTCTGCGCCAAGAACTGTAAAGACATGGTCATCCCTCCGCAGCTGTGGTAAGCCATTCTGTATTATATTTCTCTTTTAATTCAAAATCAGACAGCCTTGTTTATGTTGAGAAAACGAGCTCTTTATAACAGCAAATTAGGTTACAGAGCTGCTTTATTTGGCCACTCAGATTGAGACCTTTTTTTTTTTTTTTTTTTTTTTTTTTTGTATTTGCATCGGGGCTGAATCACCAAGAACCAGTCAGACATGACCACACAGCCTCCTTCAGTTCTGCTGCTTGTCCGACTCGGATGTGAACTCCCTGAGCATCTCACACAGCATCCCTCATGATCCTGATGAAGGGTCCATTAAAAAAGGGGATGCTTAAAAAAAATCAACCAAACTATGACTTTAGTTATGTAATGCGCCACTGACGGGCATCATTCTTTCTTTCTTTTTAAACGAGCCTTATTGAGACACTCACCCCACAGGATTTAAGATCAGGATCTCCACTCCAAGTCCTCYTTCAAAGTTAACTTCTGTCACTCATAGAGATGGTCCACACATCATTACACATGCAAAGCTGAAAGTCAGTCAGTGACTTTGCAGTCATTTGTTCCTGATCAATAAATAAAGGAACAGCAGATAAAGGAAAGCTGGAGTTCATGTGCCTTTTAAATATAACACCATGCAGATGGTTTTCTCATACCATTAAAGTGCCTTCTTTTTAATGAACTAATGCAAGAATAATATTAGTTTGATTATTCTTGGTTATAACCACTGATGGCCATTATGTTTTATACATATTTGTTTGTCTGCATTGTTAGCAAAATATCTCTTAACAAAAGTGTTTAACAAAACTCTAAGTAATCATTGGACCTGATTAAGCTTTGGAGTCCAGATGGTCACCACAGCTAAGCAAACTTGGCGAACACAAATATGGCTACAACTCAACTATCTTTTCAGATATTCAGCTGAAATTTGGTGTGGTAGTGTCTTAAGMTGAGGGGTCATCCCCAATACTCTGAGCGCGAACTGATAGTGTTTGGTCTGTTTTTAAAACTTTGCCGTTAATAATTTCAGTCAACTCTGTCTGCTGGCAAAATATCTTATGAACAATGAAACGTTCAGAAATGTATTTACGTTATTTACATCAACAACTCATTAAAGGCACAGTGTGTAGGATTTGTTGTTTTCAGCAACGTCTAGTGGTTAAATCAGCCTCCCTGGTCCTCCCCCCACCCCCACCCCCTTCCAAACACAAAGGAGTTGCTACGGTGTCTCTCAGGTGTCAAAAACCTTTGATAATTCCAACCGCGATGTCTACCAGCAGCTTCAGGGCTAGTGATGTTTCAAGTGGTAAGATTATGAGCTTTAATAAGTAAAATTATCCCAGCTACAATGACAGACAACAAATATTACATTTATAATATTACAACTAAAACCGTTTTTGACACCGCCACCGCAGTTTGTCCTTCATGAGCCTTCGTAGACAAGATGGCGGTGCAAGATGGCGGCTGCCTGTAGTGGCGACCCGTGACCATGGAGATATAAACAGCTTTTTATAAGGTAAAAATAATAAAACAAGGTCTTTGTCTGCAATGATTAGACATGTTTTTTTATTATTGTCATTAGTGATTATCTCAATTTCGGCTAAAAGAATTGACAAAATCCTACACACTGTGCCTTTAACAGTTAGAGTCAACCCAATTCAAGATGGCTACCACAGCTAGTTGACGTTAGCCAACACAAAATTAGCTGTAGCTCAGTCAGTTTCACAGATATGTAACTAAATTTGGTGTTGTAGTAGCTGAGAGTCCTCCTGGTCGCAAAAATGTTGCAATATCATGTCTTCCATTATTAATCAGCCTTGATTCAAAAGTTTTTTTTWAATTATTTTTTACCTCTAAAATAACAATCATTTTTGCCTGCATTTGTTTTGCTGTAAATCAGTGATGGCTTGCTGAATGATCTTCTTCAACCAGTACTTATTAGACCATAATGGTGGTGGTATTTTCCTGTATGCAAAGCTCCCATTCATAGTGACCAAAGCGGGGGTCACTGAATGGTTTAATGAGTAGGAAAATTGCATGAATCACACACAGCGTACTTTACAGTGACCAGATCTCAACTTAGCTGCATGTGCATGAGAAGTTAGATTCCCTCAAAGCTCAAATGAAGAAAAGTGTGAAACAATCATGTCAAACTGCATTCTTGCATCGCCTCAACAACCAAAACTGAATAAGTTCATTGCTTCTTGAATGTCACCTTTCATCACCATTTAATTATAAATACTTTACTTTGAATGTTTGTACTTTACTTCAACAACTTAGTACGCAGTTGTTTTTGACACTCATTATGTAAAAATTACCTTTAAAGTACTGTACTGCTCTGTGATGCTCAGCTCTATCTAGATGATGTAATGTGTGCAGCGTGGGACAAWCTGGCTCTGTCCAGTTGGCGTTAGAGATATAGAAAAAGAGAGAGACGGGCCATTTCTAAAGAGATGAGCTGTTTGCTTATAAATGTCACACAAGATTTACATCAAATCAATCGARTGGCATTATTAGCTGGTTGTAAATTCAGAAGAGCACTTGTTCTTTAAGAACCATGTAATATGATATGAGGTCACAAGGTTTTTTTTATGTTGGCCCACTTTAATTATGCAGCAGAGAGCGGGATCAGTGAAGTTGTGTCAGTTTGGAGCGGTGGTCAATACCTCAGACGTGGTGAAAACACAAACATGGCTGTCATTCTATCCTGTTATCATTGAGCTGTATCCTGTTACATGTTTGTAATGAGTAATGCTGTCACCGTCTGTTGCTTTCAACAGGTTGTTAAAGGACAATAATGCAATGACCTTTTGGCTTCTTTCTGCTCGTTTGGCTTGCTAAATATTGAGTTTTGTAGCGTTTGAAATATGGAACAGCTAAGTTTTCATCCCGGTGAGACCCCACAAACCAGAACACAGAGATATGGTGGGATTGCAGAGGTCCTTTATGTCTGCCTCGGCACAGCCCCTCTATGCTTTTCTTGGATTGACCCATGTCAAAACAGATAATAGTCGCCTTTACATTTGATACTCTATCGATCCCTGAAGGAATTTCCACTATTCTCTTGCCACACTGGTGAGTTCAGAGCAAAGATCAACAATAATAATAATTTAAAAAAAAGAGAGAAAACTATAAAAAAAAACCTAAAGCACAGAAATGCTGAATCGTGTCTAAATATATTTCAGTGGAGCAGATTGATCTTGGTTTGGACTGCTACCCTGCTCAAATGAAACTGCTTAGTCATTACTTTAATTATTCATTATGTATCTGCATTTTTATTTGTATCATGAAAAGTGCTCACAAAGTCTACCAGTGAAAACAATTTTCGGGGATTTCTTGCAAATTGACCTCAGTGTTCTGCATTGATTTTGTGCTTAAAAACTTGAAATAAAAATGTAAAATACCTCTTATATTTGAATCTTTTACATGTTTGTCCATGGAGTTCCCGAATACAACTAAAGTGTTGTTCCTATTTGGAACTTTTGTAAAGTTTTGACCTGTTGATTCCAATTTTAGGCCATTTATTTTTTAAAAACTGTCAATAATATACTAAATAATTTTGATTGGCTTTCATAATCTCAGGTTTATACTGTATATACAGTATATACAACACTTTCTCTAAAACAGAACCAGAGAAAGCCTTTTCTATTTGTTGCTGAATATCTAAAATAATAATCTTTCCGGTCATTTGTGCAAATAAAACACACTTGGCAAAGATTACAGTTTGCCTTTATCAGCTGCTCCTGAACAGTAGCTTTTATTTTTTGCACGTCAAATCATAAAAGTGGACCAGTTGAATCAACAAACAGCACCATGAGTGAAAAAAAGCCTGAACTATATAAACTGAGCAGCATCTAGACCCCCTTCATGTTTCATTTTAGTAACTTTCTACCTCTTTTGTTTGACTTAATTTCGAACACCTAACATTTATTAAAAACAGCAAACTTTTGAGTTTCCTTCGCTCATTAAAAATGGATTTATCTCTCCAGAAAATAAATTTCCCAACTATTCTATTATATGTAAGAAGAAACTAAATGCAAACAAAATAAGAGTCATAAGTGGACTTTATAAAGATTAATGCTCAGTCTTTACAGCTGTTTACTGAGCTTGTTTTAAAGGCCTTCGCCGTGGTATTTTATTGATCCCTGAACATGTCACTTTGAGCCATAAAGTTCATCAGTTAGTTTATTAATTTTTGGTATAATAATCACCGACTGTCACTGCTATGTAATGAAAATAAAATGATCCATAAAGGGTTGAGTTTTTTTATCAGCTCCTTTTGGGAGAAATTTTTACTTTTCATGTTAGGAGCATAAAACGAGACAACCAGAACTTGTTTTGTTGCTATAAAGTAAAATTCAGGGTGTATGAGACAAATCTGAGAAAAACTACAGTATATACATCTTTAACTCTCAAAGGTGTTCCAGCAGGTTTATGTCTGGTGACTGAAGGTGTAGCAGGTTGTTCACATCAAGAAAAAACAATGTTTYATCACAGCTTAAAGGTTTTTACTCGGCAGAGCTTTTATTTTATTTTATTTTTTACAAGTGAACTCCATCCATCAGAGCAAATTGTTTCCCTCAAACCCAGGACTGGAGTGGGACCTGGAGGTCTCCACCCCTCTGTCTTTTACTGTATTTCACAACTTGTTTTGCAAGATGGCTCATTTTTTATAACAACCTCTTTACTTACTCAATGGCAATTACAACACAAACACATGGTTGAACTCTCTTTCTTTAGTGCAACAATACATTTAATTTAGATGTATTATAGGATTAATTGTATATTAAATGAAYGTTTATGCCAGGCGGTATCATTTTAGCAGTAAGTGTGCTGTTTTATGAAAAATACATCACATAAACAGATAATTCCTCACTTTCTATTCCGAAGATGAAACTTAACAAGTCCGACTTGCGTCTCAGATATACTGACTTTTATTTCGATGCACATGAAAGGGTATACATTTCATTTTCATTGAGGTCTCCTCTCTGTTTACTCCCGTTTGCTCGATATTG